TGGGTCACTTTAAGAACTGTGTTTGCCCACTAAAAAAAACACGTTAGAAAATCAGAGTGTCATGTAAAAAAAAAATAATCCCTTCGACCAGGGCCAAGCAGAGATTGTGGAGAGGGGAAAATTTATTCCCCCTAAATTATTTGGCTCTTCATTTATTGCTTCCCTGGAGATTCAATCACCAGGCCAAAAAATACTCATTTAATTTTGGGAGTTGCTGAAACATCAGGAAATTCTGCCTTTGGCTATAGTCCATGATACTTACGCCAGATCCTTTAACTGACAGTCAGGCTGTTTTAATCCTTCACACAGCAATTTCAGTCCCAAATCTTCAATTTTGTTATTAATTAGAAGCAGCCTTGTCAAGCTCCAGGTGGAGCGCAGGACTTGGGCGAGGGACTCACAACAAGCTGCAGAGAGGGAACATTCGGACAGCCTGGAGGGATGGGGACATCAAGGTGGCTGTTAACCACGGAAGCAGGGAGTCCCACTGAACTTCAAATGCCAAAGCCCATGAGAAGGACTAAGACAAGCAGACACTTACACAAGATTCTCAATTATACCCTTGGTATGCCGCAGACCTCCACAGAGATGCTGTACTCCTGTGTCCCCCAGGGCATTGGCAAACACAATCAGCTCTTTTAAAGTCTGACTCACTTGCAAAAAAGAAGAGAGCTCCACACAGCTAGCATCCGTGAGGTGACATGTGCTCAAGCTACCCAGAGAAAAAGAAGAAAAATGAGCCACTGCTGCATTTAGCTTCCTAGGAATGTTTTCCCAGCCTCCTCACTTAGCTAAGTCCTAGCCATCCTTCACATTTCAGTTCCTGGTCCACCTCCTTCACAGAGTCTCCTTCTGAGGTCTCCAACCCACAGCAACCTCCTCCCTTTCGCAGGGCTCATCTGACATTTCTAAATGATTCCACAGTGTTGGGCACTTGATTACACGTTGAACTGTGTCGCTCTCCAATTGTTTTACATCTGTGTGTCCTTAAGGAAAGCCTTGTCACTTGTAGTTCTTCTGCTAACTCCACTCACATCTAGTTGAGTGCATGGTAGGTAATCTTTACAGAGTTAAAATGTAATTAGTGTCATTCCTGTAAACACACAAGACCATAGTATACTGGAAAGAGCATGAGATTTGGAGAGTCACATCCTGACTATACTACCTTTTAGCAATGTGACCTTGGACAAGTCACTTATCCCCCTGATCCTCAGTTTCCTCATCTGTACAATGGGGATAAGAAAACCCACCTTATATGGTTATTGTAAGGAGTAAATTAGGTGAAATAACTTCTGGTAAGCACCAACATAGATCCTGGCACACAGTAGGCATTCAACAAGTTTAATAGTCATAAGATGATAGCAGATAGTTCTAAGAAACTTACTCTAGTTTCTCCACTTTACAGTTGGAATGTCTGAGACCCTCACAAAGATACTTCACCCCTGTATCCCCCAGGGGATTTTCACTCAGGTCCAACTCAGTAAGGTGTGGATTGCAAATAAGAACAGAGGCAAGATACTTGCAAACAGCCTCTGAGCTTTCGGGGAGAATGCTATCACACAACCTGGAGAGAAAGAAAGACCAACAGAGATAGAATTGGCTGCTTTATCATCCTACTCAACCCCTACTTGCAATACTTTATGAGCAGAGAAAATAAAGGCCCATCCATACAAAACCCCTAACCTTGAGTACGTCACAGCCAACATTTCCCATGTAAGGGACTTGTACATTGCTCCCACAACACTGTGTCCCCAAGTGGGAACTCAATAAATGGTGACTGCCCAAGAAAAGAAAAGGGTTGGGAGGAAATATCAAGATGACCTAATCTCATTTTAATTCCCTGCATAAATTTAGCACTCTATCTCATGTCTTCTTGCAAATCCCAGGGGGAAAATGCTATAATAATCATTAATAAATTTTACAGTCAAAAGCTCTTTCCTTCCCTCTTATCTGAAAGTCCATGATTCATTAATTTGCCATCCTTAGAGAGACCCAGCCCATCACCATCATCCACATAATATTCCTTCTTTGGCACAAGAGAGTAGTTTTTACTGACCTTCGTGCCTTCTCAGTCTTTGTTTCTCCATGTTAAGTAGTCCAATTCCGTGAACAATTTCCCATCAACTTTTTCTTTCGTCACTTTTAAGAATGTCTATGATATATACTACAAACTTTGAGTTCTCAATTTTCTCTTGTGTTACCAGGCTTTAAAGTCAGTCTTGAAGAGGGCTCATAAAGACATGTATCTATATCTCCCCAATTTAGAAATTTTAAATAGAGGCATTTTCCCCAAAAAATGAGCTTTAAAGTGGATTTTAGAAAGCTTTAATGCCAAAGGGGCTTCACTTCAGAAAATCACACATACATATTGTGATGGTTAATTTTATGTATCAAACTGGTTAGGTCATAGTATCCAGATATTTGGTCAAACATTATTATACATGTTTCTGTGAAGGTACTTTTTCGATGAGATTAACATTTAAATCAGTAGACACTGAATAAAGTAAATTACCCTCCATAATGTGGGTGAGCCTCATTGAATCAGTTGAAAGCTTTAATAGAAAAAGATGTGGGGCCGCCCCATGGCCAAGTGGTTAAGTTCGCGCACTCCACTTCAGCGGCCCAGGGTTTCGCTGGTTTGAATCCTGGGCGCGAACATGGCACCACTCAACAGGCCATGCTGAGGCGGCATCCCACATGCCACAACTGGAAGGACCCACAACTAAAGCTACACAACTATGTACAGGGGGGCTTTCGGAGAAGAAGGAAAAATAAAATCTTAAAAAAAAAAAAAAAAAAGAAAGAAAGAAAAGAAAAAGATTGACCTCCCCAGAAGAAGAGGGAATTCTGCTGGCAGACTGCATCTTGGACTTGAACTGCAACATTGGCTCTTTCCTGTGTCTCCTGCCTGCCAGCCTACCCTAAAGATTTTGAACTTGACAGCTGTCATAGTCCATGTGAGTCAACTCTTTAAAATAAATCTCTCTATATATTCATACTCACCTTATTGGTTCTGTTTCTCTCAAGAACCCTGACTAATACATATATGATAGTCATTACCATGGACTTTGAAGTCAGACACATCTGGCTTTCAAATTGTGCCTTTGCCAAGTTATTTAGTCTTATGACCTTGGATCTCTATTTCCTTATCTGCTAAAATGAGGATAATAATCTGAACTTCTCAGAACTGTTGTGTGAATTAAAGGAAATCATGTATACAAAGCACTCAGCACAATGTTTAGCACAAAGTAATTGCTCAATAAGTGTGGGTTATTATTATTGTCATTGATGTTATTGCCACTTACAACGAAAATTCTCTCCCTAAACTTGTTACATAGGAACAGTTTTAGGGACTGCCACTTTTATTCATCCTCTCCTTGACTCCTTGAAATCTTTTGATCACATAATATCCATCTTGAGTTGCGTATTTTTAAAATTTTTCCTACAGTATGGAACAATTTTAATAGTTACAACTTACTTGAGCTTCTGTAATTTGCAGTTTGGATCTTTCAAGCCTTCACAGAGAAATTTAAAAGCTGAAGTTTCCAGTTTGGTTTCACTCACTTCCAGTTCAGTGAGCCACTGACTGGTGCTGAGAACAGCTGCTAGCGCCTCACAAGAAGCGGGAGAGATAAGGCATCGGTACAACCTTCAGAGAACAGAAGAATAACCTCATTACCTTATTCAGGCTCTTCCCCCACACAAACAGCAATTGACAAAAACTGATACGAACACAGACAAATTCTCCTTCTAGCAGTTACCTCAATGTCTGTAAGATACAGTTTGAGTGTTTTAATCCTTGACACAGAAGCTTCACTCCTGAATCTTCCAGGGTATTTTTTACAAACTCCAAATTTGTCAGACACTGGTTGGTTTCAAACACTAAGGAGAGGTCCCTACCACAAGAAGCGGTGAGGCGGCAGAAAATCAGTCTGTGTGGAGAAAAAGTCATTTCAGAGAGGAAAGAAAATAAGACTCTTTAAAGGTACCTGTTTGCACCTTACTGATGTAACGAATTCTTTCCATTCATTCAACAATTAATCTATTGGGTGCTTCCCACTGTGCGAGATGCTGAAAACACAGAAATAATTAAGACCCAGATCTGCCCTCAAGGAATTCCCAGTTAATGGGGGAAAAAGTTAGGAAATCATAAGTGATGATACAGTGTGAAAAGCACTGCACAAGTGGTATGCACAAGGCATCCTGGGGACACAGAAGGTGGCAGAATTCAGCCTAGCTTTGGATGAGGTTTGGAGGATCAGGAAATACCTATGAGGAAGAAATGCTTGCGTGCTTTTGTGAAGGGGAACTGCAGTTGAACAGGAGTTAGGTGGATGAGGAGAATGGCAGCGGGAGAGCGGGAGGAGCTGAGGGGCAATCCGGTCATGGAGCAGCCTGTGCAAAGGCCAGGAGGCAAGAGAGAAGACGCTTTGTTTGAAAAACTGCCAATCATCTGCTATGGCCTATTTTAACAGCCTGGAAGGCTCTATATCAAACTAGTAACAGTGATATCTTCTAGGTTGGGGAAAGAGTGGGATTATAGGGGGACGTTTACTTTCTAGGTATCAAAAGATTACTTACAATAATCAAAAGCTATCGAAAAAATACTTTTTTTTAAATTTTGAAAAACATAAAGCATGCTTATTATAAATAATTTTTACAATAGAGAAAAATATAAAGAATAAAGTTTCTTTTTAAGTATTCCTACCATCCAAAGACAACCACTATTAAAATTTTGGTATATAACTTTCCAGATTTTTTTTTTAAAGATTGGCACCTGAGGTAACAACTGTTGCCAATCTTCTTTTTATTTGTTCTTTCTTTTTTTTCTCTTCTCCCCCCCAAAGCCCCTCAGTACAGAGTTGTATATTCTAGTCGTGAGTGCCTCTGGTTGTGGCATGTGGGACGCTGCCTCAACGTGGCCTGATGAGCGATGCCATGTCCGCGCCCAGGATCCAAACCAGTGAAACCTTGGGCGGCCAAAGTGGAGCACGTAAACTTAACCACTCGGCCACGGGGCCGGCCCCTTAACTTTCCAGATTTTTAATACATGCATACGTGTAGAGTTATATGTTCTTTGTAACAAACAAAATCATATAAAGATGTATTTTTAAAAGATAAAAACTTTGTCCCAACCGCCCCTCCAATTCCACCTCCCAGACATAACCAATGTTAAGAGTCTGGTGTATATCTTCCCACTTCTTTCTCCAAGATCACAGAAACACATGCAAACACACACACAGAGGATTTGTTTGTACATTTTACAAAAATGGGACCATGGAAAACATTATGTCAACTTTACATGCACTTTGTCATTCAGGCCCATAGTTAGAAACAGATTCAATTATAGCACAAGGTCACATAGTAAGTGGCAGGGTAGGGCTCAGCCTAAGGTCTGTCTGGTTTATTCTGTAGGCTTCAGAAAGCCAGTGGAGGTTTAAAGAGACATGGTCAGATCCCTCTGATGACAGGGTAGGGCAGAAGACAGATCTGATGTCAGAGGGTTGCAGTGGTCCAGGGAAGAAATGGGGGAGGAGGGGGCTGGATTAGCATTGCGGGGGAGGGGGTGTAAATTGACGGATTAGAGACACGTTTTGGGAGTGGAAATGGCCAGGATTTATGACCATTTAGGGTGACTACAGTGCTCAGTCCTGGGCCAATGGAGAATGAGGCTGTTCTCTGGCTCCACCCTCTTCCTCCAGGGGGTACCTGAGGCCAGTGAGGAATTGGGGCTGTTTCCTGTTCTAGAACATTCCATCTCTTGGAAAACCATTATGGGGGGGTACTTTTTGTACTTGATTACAAGTGCTTCATGTTCTTGATTCTAAGTCTTTTCTGACCACCCCTGTTTCTTCCCATGGAGGGATCTTATTTTCGCATCTGCCAGCACTAGCACCCCCCATCCCCCCTCATTGTCTTTCCTCAGAGCCCTTGGAGGAAAAGAGAGATGCCTCTCTCTTTTCTCTTTGGGCACAGTAGGCAGGCATGTTTGGCCTGTACCTCCTATGGCCCCCAGCTGGAGAGGTGAGGCCTGATGGGAGGTGTCCTATAGTGCGGCAAGGCAGTTAGGGGGTCTTTACGTGGGTTTGGGTGAGTGAGGGCAAGGGGAAGGGAGGAGATCGAGTGGGAAGGGAGGGGACATCCCCACAGGGCCAGTCAAGCCCCTTAGCCCCTCAGCAGCCATGGCCTTGAAACCCGACGACCTTGGTGGTGGGTTCCAGCATGGCAAGGTGGTGGCCTTCATCAATGAGAAGACAGCCAGGCATGCAAAAGGCCCTGAGTTCTACCTTGAGAATATATCCCTGTCCTGAGAAGAGACGGAAGACAAGCTCAGGGCCATCCTGGAGGACAGCGCAGTGCCCAGCAAGGTCAAAGAGGCCTGTGCCTGGGGCAGCCTGGCCCTGGGCCTGCACTTCACCTGCAGGCAGGGCCAGTTTCATGCGCACAGAGTGCAGTGGCTGCAGGACTTCGCCAAACTACATAAGTCAGACGCACAAGCCTTGGCCTCAGATGTGAAGAAGCTCACAGTGCAGCAGATGGAGAACAAGGAGACAGCCTTCCAGCTGCTGCGGCAGACTTACGCCAACCTGGCAGAGATGCAGAAAGAGCGGGACCTTCTAAGGTGGAAGCTCCTTCAGGCCCTAGGATTCCCCAGACTTGCTCCCTGCCCTGTCTCCCCGCCACACCCCCTGCCCCCGTTTCCATCCTCAGAACAGGTCTCAACCTTGTCCACTTCTCTCCAAGAGCTGGGGTCTCCCCGGGAGCAGGTAGAAGGAGGAGCAAGTGAGAAGGGAGAGGAGGGTGGCCGCTGCTTCTACTGCCACCGCTGCAGGAGGAGGAGGAAGACAGGAGAAGGATGCGGAGGGGGAAGAGGCCGCAAAGGAGCTGGGTGGAGGCCTCCTGCAGGTTCTTGGAGCTGTGGAGCAGAAATAATTACCCCTCTGGTGGGCAGAGGGAGGGAGGTCTCAGGTCTGTGGAAACAGCCATGTTTTATTTCTCTGAGACCATGAAGCCCAGGTCCAGAGTCTCCCCAGCATCCCTTCCTGTGCAGCTCCCGGCCTCATTTGCATACCCCTTCTCATGCCCCTTACTCCCCTTCCCAGAGTCAGCCACAGCATCCCCACCAGCAGCAATGTTCACATCAGGGGCTCCATCTCAGACGGCTCCCACTGGGGGCCCTCTAGTGTTACCTTAGGGTCTAATGTGGGGGCTCAGGGTATAGACCTTCAATCCCAAAGACACAGGAGAGACTTCGATCCCCATCATCAGAGAAGACCTCCAGTATTTCACAGGCCCGAGGATTGGGACTGCCCTTGGTGTAAGGCCGTAAATTTTTCACAGAGGGAGATTTGCTTCCGCTGCGGGAGGGGAATCTAGCTACAAAACCCTTGAATTCAAAAATGTGAAACAGAACAGAAAAATATCCCAAAGGGAAATCAATTTTCAGAGGCAGGGGAAGAGGTAGGGGAGGGTTTGGGGGGAAAGGGTGGGTGGATGGATGGGGCAACTGGGTTGTGAGAGAAGTGGGAAGTGGGATGGGAGGTGGGGTGTGAGGTGGCCACTGGGGAGGTTATAGATTAGGGGGCTGGCAGGAGAGAGATGTAGAGACATGTTTGATGACTCCCTTTGCGTTCCAGAGCATTGGCATTCCACACCCCAGAAGTGCTGCAGCTTCTATTTGTGTCTCTCTCCCCCAGCCCCGGTATCTGGTGGACCTGGGCAGCTATGTATACAACGAACCACTCCCTCCCCAACCTAGGCTATAGATGATGGGAGCAGGAGTGGGCATTTGACCCATCCTGAGCAAAACAGATTCTCACACTAGACAATCTGAACAGAGAGGCAGATGCCAAAGTCAGGATGGTGTTGGGAAATGAAACAATGGGTCACTTGGAGTTGGGGCCAAGGTCAGAGCCATGGATGCCAAGGCCTGACCCTGGCTGTGGGGGAGCAGAACTGGGTGCTTTACAGAGGCCAAGTGTCTTTTAGAGGATGACATTATGAGGTCCCAGGGAACACACAGGCACAGAGAAGTAGAAAGGAGTTGATCCTGTGACCCCAGAGATGGAAAGAGTGGCAGCCCGGCCACTTTTCCACTTTCTGCAATTGTGCTTTGTGAAAAGCTACTTTACACAGATCCCCTTTTCTTGAAGCTAAGTTGAGCGGGTTCCTGTTCTGGGCAACCAGGTTACTTCCAAGACAGAAACTGACACAATAAGAGCAGTTGCAAACCACAAGCCATCAAAGAAAATGTTGGACCTGGCTGGGGAGGTCCTCAGGGAGTGCCAGGTAGTGGGGATTCCTGGATCCCCAGAGTCTCCAGGAATGAACTAGACAGGAAGCTCTTTCATGTTCTCAGCAAGTTATATCACAAGAAACAATCAAAACAGGCCTGGGGCAAACCAGGCTTACACCACAGCAGAGATGTGCCACCTCTAAGGGAATCCCTCAGGGCTGCATACAGAGGATGCCAGCACCAGCTGCAGGTGAGGACTGCTATGGCTCTTCAGCCCCATGACAGGAGAAGCCTCCCCAATGCCCAGTGATCAGAACTGGGGACAGTCAGATCTGATCAAGGAACTCATGCCACAGCCAAGGAGGTGAGTCAGCAACTGACGGTGCCTAAGGGTGGGCTGGGCTAGACCACAGACCAAAGCATGGTGCCATCCTGAGGGATTCTCTCCCCCAGCCCACCACCAGGACAATAGTAGGAGCGGAGTCTGGCTAGAAAGCCCTCAGTGGATTCAGAAATGTGGAATAGAACATATCCCAACGGGATATCAATTTCCAGAGGGAGGGGGTAAACTGGGAAAGGGGGAGTGTGGAGGATGGTCTGCATCTCCCCCTCTGATGACGAGAAGATGTCTTGAGCGGGGCTAAATGTGTGGTTTATCCTGCAGGTGGCAGGATGGTGAGGATTCACACCTGGACCAGACTGAGATAACTAGAGGAGCCCTGGACATCGCCTGGAGACTGAGGACCTAGGGACTGAAGTTGTCATGGCCCTGGGATATCTCTGCAGCGGCTGGATGTGACCTTGGGCTCTCTCCTGTTGGGGCAGGTGTGGAGGTGTGGACAGACATCAGGATGGTTGTCATTGCCCAAAAGCCCCTACCCCCACCCCGACCTTCTCTCCTCATTCACTCTCCAGTGCTTTGTCTGAGGGACACACCGGCAAGATCCCTAACCTGCACTTGTCAGAAGTGTTCTTGGGCTCATTTCTACAGTTCTAGAGCCAGGTTTCCCAAACCCAGCACTCTTGACACTTGAGGTTGGATAATTGTTGCAGGGGGCTGTCCAGTACACTGTAGGACGTTCAGCAGAACCCTGGCCTCAGAACCCAGTAGAGGCCAGGAGCACATCGCCCCCTAACTGTGACAACCAAAATTATCTCCAGATATTGTCACATGCCCACAGGAGAGCAAAATCGTCCCTGATTGGGAACCATGGAGGCAATGAGGCATGTAGCGGTAGTCAGAACAGAGGGAAGAGAGTTGCAAGGGGAGTGTGCTCAGCAGTGCCCGGGGCTGCAGGGGGCCCCTAAGATAGGAGGTGAAAAGTGCGCACTGGGTCTGGCGTTCACTTTCGATCTTTGAGCAGGTCTGGGTACAGGAGGGGCAGAAGGCAAACTGCAAGGGTTGAGGATGTGCACTCAGTGAGGGAGGCTTCCCTTCAAGGACTTCTGGCTGCGGAGGGAAGGAGTGAGGTGGGATGCATGGCTGAGAGAGGGTTCTTTTGAATATGGGAGAAACTTGAGCCATGAGGAAGGAGATAGCTGAAGAAAGCTTGAAAACGCAAGAAATATGTAAAAGAATGAGGTAGATCCTGCAGACTGTACTGGAGGCACGTCCATGGTACTGCTCAATGAAAAAAAAACACGACAGGGCCAATTTTGTTTTTTTGTGAAACAAAACCCCCAAAAGTTCTATAAATGCGTATATATATGCTATGTATATTATAGATTTATGTGTGCTTTACGTTACAGATTTATGTTTGAATAAGCATAGAAAAAGGTCTGGAGAGATATTCAGCAAAAAAGGTATTACCTAGGGAGGGTGGGATCAAAGTCAGAATAGGAAATAGGAGTTGGCGATGTGGAGGTATGGGGTGGGATGGGGTACAGGGCAGTAGGGTGGAAGGCTTTCATATCTTTACATACTTCTGTGTTTCATAAAGCTAAACAATTAAGTGCTCACAAAAATACAAAAATAAAAGGAAGTGAATTTACTGGGTTGGGCGGGTTTGGAAAGGCCACCTCTTCCTCTGGGACTAGAAGGAAAGAGAACAGACACTGATCTGTATGTTGAGGGGGTGCGAAACCAACGGGGTTCATGCCTGTGTGTTTGTGATGTGGACGGACAAGCAGTCAAGACACCTGAGAGTGAGCAAGGACCGAAGGTCAGGGTGGGAGTGGGGGCTTCTGAGCAACGGCACTATGGGGAATAACTGAGGGAGATGGAGGTGGGGAATGGAGGGAGAGAAAAGGATCATCCAGCTGCATGGACTGGGATAGAACCCAACTGAAAGAAAACCAACCAGGAGGACTGTGGAATTCTGGAAGGAAAAGGAAGGAGGTTAGGTCCAGCAGGGACACCAGACACAAATCTCTTAGGTGTTACAGCCTGCCACCCATTTACTACAGCAAAAACAGCACCTACAAAAGGGGAAGAGGCAGGAGGGGCTGGCAGGGATCTGTGCCTGACTCCCTACCCCTTCTAGGCTCATAGCACATCTTTTCATTTGCTGTTTCGCTATAGAAAACAGAGCACTAGTTATACTTTTTCTTCAGGTGCGATCGTCTGGGAGTACAATTTCTAGCAACCCAGTCTTTACCTGCAAATATCTAAGAGTTTAAAGCAAAGTTCAACTTACTTCAGGTCTCTGATTTTACAATCTGGATTACGCAGTACTTGGCAGAGCAAGTGTAGCCGAGACACTGGCAAATTGCACAGCTGGAAGGACCTAAAAGAGGTGAGAAAGCAAAAATAATTTAAAACAAAATAATTAAAAACAAAATTTTAAGCCAAAGTCTTATTTTGGCTTTTGTTATCATACTAGTACTAACCTACCTCTTCCAAAAACCTTAGGAGGTATTACTCCATTTTGAAAATAAGGAAATAAAAGTTCCCCCAAAAGTAAATAATTTGCTCAAGGTCACATAGGTAGGAAGAGAACGGAGGTCAGTATTCAGGTCTATCTGACTCCAAAGCCAAAGCCACGTTACTGTGTGCCAGGCATCAAGGTAAGCACTTTAAATACACAAACTATCTTATCTGGTCCTTAATTCAACGAAAGGTATTGTAGTCACTATTTTGCAGATGCTCAGAGAGGTCAAGTGACTTGCCCGAGCTATCTTTACAATATAACTGATTCTTGGTCATCAGTACGAATAGAAAAATTAATGACAGTAACTGAGAACTATGAAAGTTCAATAGTAAACTCCCACTTAGTCAACATGCTTAGGAAAGGAGTATTTGGGGTTAAATTTTGAAGAGAATTTAAGCCCTCCAATAAAGGCAGTACGGTTAGGGGTATGAACTCCATCTAAGGTTGATTTTCTGGAAATCCAGAATGAACTAGAAGCCCCTTTTTGTTTCCATCAGTGTTTAAAAATCTCTCAATGTATTTGCCCATTATTTAACTTTATAATATACAGTTGGACTGAAGGTATCATGAATTCCTCAAGGCACTATAGCCAAGGTCCTTCATAATTCTGAGTCCATGTAACCTCTCCTACCCCCTTTCCTTCTAGTCCCAAACATAAACACTTGCTGTACCTCCTTTCTTCTCCCCACTTTCCTCAAACACACATAGCTCACGCTCATTTCTACCTCTATGCTACTGCCCACTGAGGAAATACAACTATCAGATAAAAGACTCAGGTTAAATCCCTCCCCAAGTAGTGCTCACTTGTGCTTCTGCTCACTCTTGTCTCCTTCTCAAGGTCCACTACCCCTCAGCTGGCCCTACAACTAAAGGAGAGGTAACTGTCCATCTTAAACTGAGTACTGAGAACAGACTTACAACCAGTGGCATTTTCTAGATAACACAGGCATAAGCTTTTTTGGCTGTTTTAGTCAGTAAGTCAGGAGAACTGTATTTTATAGTGCACAGAGTCCATATTATTATATAAGTGGTTTACCTAAGCCTCTTTGAACTCCAGCTGTGGACGCTCTGTGCAGGTGCAAGTCTCATGGAAAGAGCCCAGGCTTTACAGCAATAAATACAGGAGTGCAGCTCTGCCCCTTACTAACCTGGAGCTCTTGGAGGCCTCAGTGATGAAGTATACGCAGAGGAGAGTGACAAACAATTCAATGCTAAGTTTGCAAGCTTTTCCAGAATAGTCATCAACATCAAAATAGCAAAGTCCCCAATGATAATCTTGATGACTTATGTGCTCATAACACTTTATAATTACAAAGCACATTCACAGAGTGACACTGAAGACTAATAGATACACACACACACACTCATACACACACAGTTACAGAGGCTAGCCCAGGGCCTGGCACATAGTAAGTGCTCAAAATGTTAGCTTTCCCTCAGTGTCTACCTACAACAGTGTTCAATATGCGATAGATATTCAATAAATCATTATTGTGTTGATTGACATAAAATATGGAAAACAGAGATGTTCCTTTTTATTTATAGACAATGCTAGAAATGATCATGTGCCTGAATACTTAAAATAAACAGTAAAGTCCATTGTTTCTGAAGGCCAAAACACAGGAGAAAAGACATTACTATACTTACTGATTAAGTGTCAAAGCTGGTGGCATGAATGCTGAGGCTCGCTCTTCCTCCTCAAATCCAAGTAGATGCTGGCACTTCAGAGTCACTGACAGGTGACTGTGACTACTTTTTACACAGAACGACATAGCCAGAATGTCCATTTTTGTATAGGTAGGTTGAAGCAGTATAATTGAATTTAAATCACCAATTATCCTTTTTGCATATTCTTCTTCCTGAATCTCATACAAGCAGTGAAACAAGTCCATTGGCTCAATCTGTAGCCTAGAAGATTTATCCTTTATTTCTTTCTCAGTCCACTTCAATAACTCCTCTCGAAGTCCCGGAGAGACTTTTCTGCCAAAAGTAGTTTCCAAAGCCTTCCCCTTTCCTTTATGTAAGAGGCCAAACAAGAACTGTATCGTTAATGACGAAAACCCTTTTCCATATTGTTGGAATATTTCTTGCCACGTTTTCCCCACTTGATCAAAAAACATCCAGCTGCTGTCATTCTTCAGGGCATAGAACACAGCAGTCAAGAACTCTTGGAAACTGAAGTGAAGGAAAGTGTAGACATTGACACCTCCTTCAGCTTTTTTCAAAAAGTGATTGAGAAAAGTGCAGTTGGTATCATACACTCCTATCCCATGTCTTCTGAGGTCGCTGACTTCAAATAGGACCTGCTGGTTCTGCAGTCCCTTTGCAGCCAAAGAGCAAAGGCCCCACAGGCAACTTTGTCCCTTCCACACGGAGACGCCTGTAAGGGTTTTGAGGCACTTGGAAAAGTAGAACAGATACACATCAGTCATGGTCTGAAGTGACCTCATGAGAGTCCTGTCATCATCTCCCTGTGACTGCAGGACACTGCAGATCATCCAGGAGATGATGGGAAGAGAAGACATGATGTCAAGGCCCTCACTTTCTCGTAGATCATAAAAGACTCTCATTGCTGTATTAGCACCCAAAAACTGACTCAAGAAATATGCTCTCTTTTCAGCATCTGTAAACCACAGGATCTCTGCCTGGATAGGTTGTTTTAACAGAGAGTGGAGTTTCTTCATGGTCGTAGGTCGGGCGGTTATCAGGAGGGATGATTCGGGGAACAGCTTTTTCCTCACAAAACTACATAAGAGGGTCTCTACTGGCTTCCTTTCCTGGGGGTTAGCACTAAGATCCTCTTCCTGGTCACCTATAGTGTGCTGAAGCTCAGGAAATCCATCAAGAATAAACAGAAGCTTCTCTGGATACATAAGAGTAACGTCCAGGATGGGTCCGTTTATATCTTGAAAAGTGTTAGTGATCAGGTCAGCAGCACTAAGGTTAGCAATATGGCTTATTTCTCTGCAGTTTACATAGATGAGATAGTCAAACCTGCCTGGAGTGACCGTTCCCGCTGCCCAGTCAAACATGAACTTGTGCACCACAGCTGTTTTCCCAGTCCCCGCACATCCCTGAAGCACCACAGTTCGGGATGAGCTGGAGCCCTCTTCATCGGGATCAAACACATGTTCCATCTCAATAAAATTATCTTGTTGAGGAATTCCACAGGATGCCTCTTCTGATATACAGTGCTCTTTTACAACAAGCAGTCGCGACTCTATATGCTTGCCATGGTGATAACATTTATCGACTCCTATTTTTAGGTATTTTTCTTTTAGATGTTTTCTAAATACTTCCCGGTAATCTAATGAGGTGACACCAAAAGTTAGTAACCACAGAATCCTAAGCAACAAACAACTATAACTAATACTACCATCTTCACTTGGATGTCTCACTTACAGGTCTAAACCTGAGCTCTTGATTTCTACGCCACTGCTCCCTCCCCAAAAAAAACTCTCCCCAGGCATTTCATTTCAGTTAAGTGGTGCCACCCAGTTGCTGAAAAAAATATTAGGAGTTATTCTTTATTTCTTTTTTCCCTTGAATCCTTCACATCCCATCAATTAGCAAGGCCTAACATTTAAACCTCCAAAATAAGTTTCCAATCCACTTATTTATCACTAGGTTCTCAAATACTACCCAAGTACAAGGCACTATCAGCTCTTCCCTGGACTGCTGAAATCACCTCCTACTCATCTACTCTTGCCCATCTATGGCTCCTCTCCACACAGCAGCCCATGTGATCTAAAAATATCAACTACATCACGTCACTGCCCTGCCCAAAACCTTTCAAGAGCTCTTCATTGCATTTGGTATAAAATCCAGATCTTTACCTTATCCTACAAAGTATGCCACAATCTGGGCCCTACCTATCTCCCTTCCCAGCCTCATTTTATATCACCATCCTTCTCAGTCCCTACACTAAAGCCACAATGGCCTACTTTTAGTTTATCACAAATACCATGCTCTTTCCCACTCCAGGCCTTTCCACTAGCTATTCTCTCTGCCTGGAACACTCTTCCTCCTGCTATTCCCATGGAGAGCTCCTTCTCATCCTTCAGATCTCAACTTAGAAATTACTTTCTAGAAGAGGACTTGCCTGACCACCCAATTTAAAGCATATCCTCTCTACTATTCCCTTTCCCAGCACTCTGTTTTCCCTACATAGCACTTCACTTATCAAAGTTTATAATTGCCTTGTTTATTTTTTCATTTTCTGTCTTTCCCATTAAACAATAATCTACATGAAGGCAGGGACCTTGTCTATCTTCTTCCCCATAGTACCCTAAGTACCCAAAATGGTGTCTGACACATAGTAGACACTCAATAAATATTTATTGAATATGGCTATAAATGCTTTTGAATTAAAAACAAGTCATTTATTATTACCTATTCTGTGCCAGATACTGTGCTAGGCCCCTTGCATACGTTTCTGATTTTACTCTCACATTAATCCCATGAAGTAGGTATTACCCACATTTTACAGTTGAGGAAATTGACACTCATAAGCAGGGTCATAAGTTCATGGGTAGGCAATCTGTGCACAGGTCTCATGCTCAGAAGGACCCATGCTTGGTGTAATGCTCTGCTGCTGCTATCCTGAATATCTTATTTTAATTCTAATTTAGATTTTATTCCTCCTCAAAGCCCCAGTACATGGTTGTATATCCTAGTTGTAAGTCATTCTAGTTCTTCTATGTGAGCCACCATCACATCATGGCAGCTGGTGTGATTCTGTGACGGGGAAGCAAAC